AGTGAGGGGGTAGGAGGAGGGTAGGAGTGAGGGTAGAAGTGAGGGGGTAGGAGGGAGGGCAGAAGTGAGGGGGTAGGAGGGAGGGAAGCAGTGAGGGGGTAGGAGGGAGGGTAGGAGTGAGGGGGTAGGAAGGAGGGTAGGAGTGAGGGGGTAGGAGGGAGGGCAGGAGTGAGGGTGTAGAAGTGAGGGAAGGAGTGAGGGGGTAGTAGGGGGTAGGAGAGAGGGGGTAGGAGGGGGGGTAGGAGTGAGGGGGTAGGAGGGAGGGAAGCAGTGAGGGGGTAGGAGGGAGGGAAGGAGTGAGGGGGTAGGAGTGAGGAGGTAGTAGGGAGGGTAGGAGTGAGGGGGTAGGAGGAAGGGTAGGAGTGAGGGGGTAGGAGGGAGGGAAGGAGTGAGGGGTAGGAGGGAGGGTAGGAGTGAGGGGGTAGGAGGGAGGGTAGAGGAGTGAGGAGGGTAGAGTGGAGGGTAGGAGTGAGGGGGTAGAGGAGTGAGGAGGGTAGAGGAGTGAGGAGGGTAGAGGAGTGAGGAGGGAAGGAGTGAGGGGTAGGAGGAGGGTAGAAGTGAGGGGGAGTGAGGGAGGGTAGAGGAGTGAGGAGGGTAGAGGAGTGAGGAGGGTAGAGGAGTGAGGAGGGTAGAGGAGTGAGGAGGGTAGAGGAGTGAGGAGGGTAGAGGAGTGAGGAGGGTAGAGGAGTGAGGAGGGTAGAGGAGTGAGGAGGGTAGAGGAGTGAGGAGGGTAGAGGAGTGAGGAGGGTAGAGGAGTGAAGGGGCAGAGGAGTGAAGGGGCAGAGGAGTGAGAAGGGTAGAGGAGTGAGGAGGGTAGAGGAGTGAGGAGGGTAGAGGAGTGAGGAGGGTAGAGGAGTGAGGAGGGTAGAGGAGTGAGGAGGGTAGAGGAGTGAGGAGGGTAGAGGAGAGGAGGGTAGAGGAGTGAGGAGGGTAGAGGAGTGAGGAGGGTAGAGGAGTGAAGGGGTAGAGGAGTGAAGGGGTAGAGGAGTGAGGAGGGTAGAGGAGTGAGGAGGGTAGAGGAGTGAGGAGGGTAGAGGAGTGAGGAGGGTAGAGGAGTGAGGAGGGTAGAGGAGTGAGGAGGGTAGAGGAGTGAGGAGGGTAGAGGAGTGAAGAGGGTAGAGGAGTGAGGAGGGTAGAGGAGTGAGGGGTAGAGGAGTGAGGAGGGTAGAGGAGTGAGGAGGGGTAGAGGAGTGAAGGGGTAGAGGAGTGAGGAGGGTAGAGGAGTGAAGGGGTAGAGGAGTGAGGAGGGTAGAGGAGTGAAGGGGTAGAGGAGTGAGAAGGGTAGAGGAGTGAAGGGGTAGAGGAGTGAAGGGGTAGAGGAGTGAGGAGGGGTAGAGGAGTGAGGAGGGTAGAGGAGTGAGGAAGGGTAGAGGAGTGAGGAGGGTAGAGGAGTGAGGAGGGTAGAGGAGTGAAGGGGTAGAGGAGTGAAGGGGTAGAGGAGTGAGGAGGGTAGAGTGAGGAGGGTAGAGGAGTGAGGAGGGTAGAGGAGTGAGGAGGGTAGAGGAGTGAGGAGGGTAGAGGAGAGAAGGGGTAGAGGAGTGAGGTGGGAAGGAAGAGTGAGGAGAAGGATTAGTGAGGGGGAGGTATGAGGGGGAGGATTGATGGGGAAGAGTAGTGAGGGGGAGGAGTGAAGGGGGTAGGAGGGAGAAGTGAAGAGGCAGGAAGAACGGTAGGAGGGAGGGAAGAAGGATGGGCAAGAGTGAGGGGTAAGAGGGAGGGGGAAGGGACGGGAAGGAATGAGCGGGGATGGAGTAAAAGGAGGAGTGAGGGGGGAAGGAGGAGTGACGGGGGGGTGGGAGGAGTGAGGGGGGAAGGAGGAATGAGGGGGTGAAGGAGGAGTGATGGGGGGGGGGAGGAGTGAAGGGGAAAGGAGGAGTGAGGGGCGAATGAAGAGTGAGGGGCGAATGAAGAGTGAGGAGGGAAGGAAGAGTGAGGAGGGAAGGAAGAATGAGGAGGGAAGGGGGAGTGAGGGGAAGGGAGTGAGGGGGGAATGAGGGTGAAGAGGAGTGAGGGTAGGGAGGAATAGTGAAAGGGGAGGAGGAGTTAGGGGGGAGGAATAGTAAGGGGGTAGTAGTGAGGGGGGGGTACGAGTGAATGGGAGGAGGAATGAGGGGGTATTGAAGAGTGAGGGAGTAGGAGGGAGGGGGTAGGAGGGAGGAATGAGAGGGTAGGAGGGAGGGGGGAGGAGCAAGGGCAGGAGTGAAGGGATTGGAGGGAGGGCTGGAGTGAGGGGGTAGAAGGAAGGGCTGGATTGATGGGGTAAGAGTGAGGGGGCAGGAGGTGAGGAGTGAGGAGGGAGGTGGTAGGAGAGAGGTAGGGGGTAGGGGGGAGGAGTGAGGGGGGTAGGAGAAAGGGCAAAAGTGATGGGGTAGGAGGGGCATATTGAGGGGGAAGGAGGGAGGATTGAGGGGGCAGGAGGGAGGGTAGGAGTGAGGGGCATAGAAGGGAGGGCAGGAGTGATGGGATTGGGGGAAGGAGTTAGGGGGTAGGTAGGAGGGGTAGGTATGACCTGGCTATATTGGTTATGTCATGTCAAATTGTTGCATGCTGAATGCTCAAAGCCCCTTTCTTTATTCAGTGTTGTCACATTCCTCATGTGGGTGTGGATAGGCAAACACTCATCTAGTTAAACTTATCTCATAGTACTTTCAGAGACCGGTAATTTAGATTGTGGTAAGTAGAATCTCCAAATAAATGGATCTTTAAAGCGCATTCCTATTTGGGTTTAAAAGGTTGTACCGAATAAGAAACTCGGATAAAATAGTCTAACACGAGCAATGTTGTTATTCAGTTTGGTTGCCTAAAGCACATACAAGGACTAGACATTACCAGGCATTCCTGTATGCCTTACCTTATGCTAAAACATTGCCACAACCCTGGGTTTTATTGATTTAAATGGCCACAAGGAGTCATACAAAATTGCAGGTTATAATGTTATTAGTTTATCCCCTGTGGTGACAAGTGGGCTGACTGATGTCCGTTGACACCTGTATCGTGCTTCAGTTTACTCGCCAGATCGTCCTATCTCTGGACTCGTCTGTAGGAAGTATATCAAAATAATTTGGATCATTAATAGCATAAGAGTTTGGTGTAGGAGAGAGTTGGAGTGTTTGTCGTGGCTCTCGGTTGTTCCTGTTATTAGTTGACTTAGTTTTAGAAATATTTTTGTTGGCCAGTGTTGAAGTTGTTTGAAAGTAGATGTGTTTTTGTAAAGAAGGTGGGGGGTCTCCATGCTTGGCTTCAATTATCTAAGTGATTATAGATATGTTGTGTATAAATGTTTGGACATTAGAATAATTACCTTCTTTTCGTTAAAGTCAAAAGGTAGCTTGATTAATTCTAGGGTTTTTTGTTTTTTACTGGAGCAACTTTTGGTTAATGACGGAATCTAGCTCAAAGGTCCTTTATTTCATTGTTCTTCTTCATTTTAATGTGGTAGTTGTGATATGGATTGTTCTGGCTCACCTGTAAGGTTTTGCAATGTTAAATACTGTATATAATAATAAGAATTTGCCAGTCTTGTAACCATTTTTAGAGTTGCCGTAGATCTTTGTAAGAGCTCGATATCATTTTTTCATGTTCCCTATACCATAAATCTTGGTGTCATCTGCAAAATTGATGTGGTTTGTAATAATTTGATTTGTCATTGAGGTATATAAGGTTTAGACCCTTGTGGTACGCTTCATGCCGTATTTTCCAGTCAAATCTGTTTCAGAGGAAGCTTTAATTTATTTGTTTTAATTAAGCAATCTTTTTATCCTTTATTCCATGTGCTTCATATTTCACTCCTAGCCTTTGATATGGTGCTTTATCAAACACTGTGTGTGTTTGAATAGCTGGTTATCAGGAAAAAATTGTGAACAGGTTTGTTTTTAACAAACCAATGTATTGTTGATTTTACAAGAATATTAATGTTTCTTCCCTTCAGGACCTTGCAGATGTGAGGTCAAAGTAATTTGAAAGTTTTCTGCTTGGCAGTTTCAAAAATTTGAGTAACATTTGAAATCTATCTAGCGAGTTTAAGTGGCAGTAAGTTTGGCTGTCAATTCATTTAATAGCTTGGATTGAATTCCAGGTATTTGAAGTTTTTTGAATGTTAGTTTGTAAGGCTCTTCCCATTTATGGTGCTTGTTATAGGCAGATAGTTTATATATACACTATCTTGAAATAGTTATCTTCAGCAGTTTGAAACATTTGTGGTAATGGGATGTCTGGTGTGAATAATTTAGTGTTCATTACTAATATTTGGTAGGACACTTCAGTGCATCATTATATTAACAGATTGGACATGTCTAATGGTTTTGTTTATTTTCTTCTTACTCTTAGAAAATTGAAGGGTTTGGTACCATTAGACAATATTGTTAGGAAACACTTTCATGTTTCCTATCAAGTTGTGACACTTGTGGGAAAAATTTTTTTAGCTAATTTAGTTTAATCTTATCATTGATGTAAAGTTTTACATCATTTCCACTAATCAATATGTTCCATAGCTTTAACTTTAGTCTATACATTTGTTAAGTGAAATTTGTTAGATTAAATTAATATTAAAATAATGGCTAAAATTTATCTTTTGCAGTTTAACCTGATAACTATAAGAATGAGTAGTTTGGTATGCAAAGCTTTTAAGTTGTCAAAATTGGTTTTCACTTATAAAATATAATGTTGCTTAAAGGTATAATATTACCTTTTTATATATAACTTTTACTTATATTACTTTTATTTTACTTTAAGTTTTAAAGTTAGTATAGTTATATTAAGCTAAAGTTATATATATAAGTTATTAATAAAGCTATTTATATAGTTATAATATAAAACTTATAACTTAGTTTATATTAGCTTTATATATAAACTTAAGTTTATATTAGCTTTATATATTTTGTATTATATTATATTTGTTTTTATATATATAAACTCTTATAGCAAGTTTTTTTTAGATAGTTTGTAATATTAATTTCCAGCATGATTAAATTATAGCTACTTTCAGGATAAAGTATAAAGTATTTTCATTAAAAGATTTATTAAATAGTATACAATATAACTAATGTTGACAATTTTGTTTCAGGTTGAAGTTTCAACTGAAGACTCCAAACAACTTCAAAGGCCAGGAAAACATCCAGAGTACCAAGGACAACCACCACCTGTAAAAGAAAAATAAAGTATATCAAACAGGGACACTCATTTTATTAACACTAACACATACAAATTACTACCAAAACCCCTAAGTCCCAATCTTTTAAGATTGGCTCAGCAAGGCCTATCCCTTACTTGCATTTTGAGGCAGGACTTGTTGGCTGAAAGAGTGGAACACATCTTTTGGTTTAGTGCCCTCAACATGATGTACATAGGCTTGTTGTAAAGCCTATGTACATCATGTTCCAGGCACTAAACCTCTGGATGTATCCACTCTTTCAGTGAACAAGCCCTGTAGTTATTAACAATGTTTGCACATTGTTAAGGGTCCCTACACCTATGCAAATCTAGTCCATCTATTGGATGGGTAGTAGAGCAGGGCTCTGAAAAAGCCAAGCCAGGGAAATCTGCAGGACTGCCTGGTCCCCTTCTATGAAATGGGGTAGGATCAGTACAAACTGCATCAATCCCTGCAGGTGGTAACAGTAGGACTTTGGTACACATCTATAAATGGACTAGATAAAAAAGCAAGCTAGTTAATTATTTGATATAGCTAAAACATTTAATTCAACATACCAGTTTATTGGATGTGCAGAGTAGAACAGCCACACTTCTTAAGCCAGTCAATTCCTTGATACCATCATAATCTCCATTACCACCTGAAACATTTAACCAAATTAGCTTATAAATTTGGTATTAAAAGTTGCTTTGCAAACTCAAATGGCTAATGTGCCTTAACATTTTATTCTCACTAATGCTAATCAAGCACAAGACTTTGATATGGCTACTCAAACTATTTAAGTTTAACAAGTACTTTAAAGTAGAGAAAGAATTTTTACTTTACATTATCTACATGCAACCACTGATGCCTTACTTTTTTTTTCTATTTAAAATATTCACCAACACTCACCCCATTCTGAATGTCAAGCAATCAACACCTTCAAACTCTAGGATGAACAGCTGGACTTCCCAATTCTTATTCTGAAAGAAAAAGCCTATTTAAACTAGTTACATTAAAAAAATATGAAGTACAGTTACTAGTCAATATTTGTCTTGTACCATTATTTTTTTTTAACTTTTAATTATGAACAAATCCATGAGGTCAATTTACCTCCCTGTTGCAATTTTTTTTTACAATGTCATGGGACATTTGAACCCTCATCACAGCCCTTATGGATTTGGTCATTTGATGCATCACACTATTGTGTGTGCAATTTATAGATGGAAAAACTTTTAGCCAATTATTTTAGAACCAAGTAACTGAACAAAGTTAAGCAAACCAATTACCATTTAAGTAAACATTCTAAATACCCTCAATTCTTAAATTGAATAAAATGTAACATTTCCATTTTAAAATTTCTTTGCTATTCAAAACATTTCCTGCAAGGACTAAACTTTTATTGTACCCACTTGTCAAGGCCTAGAACTACAGTTTTTATCCCCCATTTCCAGGCCCCTTCACTATTTAAATACTAATTATAGCAGTACTCTTAACTGTCAGAATGATAGAGGGCAAAAGTATCTTGGCAATTTCAGGCCTTTAGTCCCCCCCACAAAGCAGCCCATTACAGCTGACTAACTCACAGGGGCATAGGGTGAAAAACTCGGCCCACCATTTCCAGGATTCAACCTGGGACCACAGGATCACATCTCCAGTGTGCTGTCTGCTCAGCTGGCCAGCCCCTGTGCTACTTTCTGTAGCATACAAGTTCCACCAATTGTTCTGTACACTGTTCCTGAAGTTATGTTGGAAGCACCCTCCACAACCTGTCAATGAAACATTTAATATGGTTAATAAAATTTTTCCCCACAGCAATGTTTAAACTTAAATATTTGCCTTTTTCAAAATACACTATTTACCTACTTCCCCCACCCCATCTTTCATTTATTGATTCTAGAAAAAAGCCCTTTAAGTAACAATTTGGTAACAATTTAAAAAGTAGCATACTGAAATCTTATTTTCAATTATAATTTAAAGTTGGTATTCCCCCACCCCTGCATCCCCATATTGGTAATACAATTTATATAGCTAAAACATGTAATTCAACATACCAGCTTCATAGATGTGCCGAGTAGAACAGCCACTCGCTGCTTTGATACCATTGTAATCTAGCAAAGTACCTGAAACATTTAACCAAATTAGCTTATAAATACAGCTTTTTACTCTAGTTTCTTTGCAAATTCACAATGGTAGTGTTCCTTTAAAATTGGCTAAAATTTTAAATTTTATTAATGCTAATCAAGCAATTAAAAAGGTAGATATGGCTATTCAAGTTAAGTTTCTTTAGTACATTTAAGTGGAGAAAGATACTTCAGACATAATGCTACATTGTTTAACTTTACTATTTAATATATAATGCAAATCTAATTTATTATTACTACCACACTCACCCGATTCTGAATGTCGAGCAAACACCACCTTCAAACTCTAGGATGTTGTTCTGGACTTCCTAATCTATAGTCTGAAAGAAAAAGCATATTTAAACTTCAATTATATATTACAATTAGATGAAGTACAGTTACCAGTTATTTGTGTTGTAACTTTTTTTTACTTTCAATTATGAAATTCTGTTACAAACATTTATATGAACTGTTTCAGGTTGTGGGACAGATGCTCCTAGATGAACAGAAGATCCAAAAGGCCAAGACAACTCCAGAGACAATCACCTGTAAAAGAAAAATAAACATTAAACAGGGACACTACTTTTATTATCACCAATGCCTAATAATAAGCCCAAAAAATCCTAACAGCCTATCTTTTAACAGGCTCAACAAGGCCTATCCCTTCCTCTGATTTTAGTGCAGAGCTTGTTCCCGGAATGGGTGCATTACATCCACCACTTTAGTGCCAAACACATTGTACATATGCTTTACTGAAAGCACTGTACAATGCATGCCAGGCACTAAAGTTTTAGATGCAAACAAGCCCTGTGAGAATTAACAATGTAACCATTGTTAAGGGTCCCTAAACCTATGCAAATCTAGTCCATCTATTAGATGGGTAGTAAAGCAAAGCTCTGAAAAAGCCAAGCCAGGGAAATCTGCAGGACTGCCTGGTCCCCTTTTATGAAATGGGGTAGGATCAGTACAAACTGCATCATCCCCTGTGGGTTGTAACAGTAGGACATGGTTACACACCTATAAATGGACTAGATAAGAGAATTAAGATTAGGTCATTGATATAGCTAAAACATCAAATTCAAACTCGCCCACTTTTGTAGAGTAAAGGAGACTCACTCCAAGCCAGTCCATGCATCATAATCACTCACCTGAAAAATATTTCAACAAATTAATTTCAGATTTAAAGCCAATCTTGCTTTACTTTTCAAATTAGCATTCAGTAGTTTACAAATTCAGATGGAAAAAATTTCTTTAAGGAATTTACCTTTCCTACATATTCTAGTAGCAGTAGTAAAGATCTACTTTAGCAATATAAATATATATGGCATCAATTTGCCAAGTTTCAGTAAATGTCATTTGAGAAACTATCCACAACTGCACTTCAATGGCAATTTACATTTATCTTTAGCCAATGCTATATTGTTTAAGTTATTACTATTTTTTTACTTTTATGCAAATCTATTCAGATTAACCTTTACTACAATTAACTTCCAACTGACAGAGGGACTTCTGGACTTTCCAAACCACATTCTGGAAAACTATAAATTTAAAACCAAGCTAAAGTAAACATTGAATATTTTTTTACTTTCAAGGGAAAAATACCATCACTTAGAACAAAACTTTTCCTGCCATTAACTTTATTTGACTCATGATTACCCTTAACAGTGTTATACATTTATAGATTAAAGCTTATTTAACAAACATTTAATGTTAACTAAAGATTTATTTCATTAAAATTTTATTAATAAAACACCCTCAACTATGCTGTTTAAGATCTAATGCCCCACATTCCAATTTTCACAATTTCAACATACCATTCTATTCAATACATTCCTGAAAGGACTAAACTTGCAGATATGGTACCCACTAGCCTAAGCATAGACTTCCATACCCATTCAATTTCCATACCCTAATATTTAATAGGTTTTTAGCAATTAACCTCTACCCTCTAATTCCAATGTACACAACACTACTTTCTGTAGATCTGCAAGTATTTTCCTGCAGCTCTTTGTTGCCAGGACCTTCCACAACCTGTCATGTGAACAGCAAATATTACTAAAAAGTTATTTGCATAGCAATGTTATTTTGTTCATACCTGTACCACCAGTTTAACAGTTGCCGTTTTAAATGGTACACTAACTATCTTGTCCCATCATTATTAATTACAAAAAGCTAGTCATTTCAAGTCAACATCCTATACAAATTTTATTTTCCAACAACTTTAGTCATGAACATTTTTCTGGAACATTGCAAAAACTTTAATTTAACCATGTATAACATTTGAATAAAAGCAATATAAAATTTATATTTACAAATTCTTATTCTTTTGCAACCACTGCTTACTACTAGGGGGACAAATTTATTCTGTTGAATTATGTACCAAGCTTTTTAGTCTGAAAATTCATAATTAACCCAACTATACTACCAAGACAATGTGATTTTACTAAATTTAGTAATATTTTTACACTAGCAACTATACAAGGCCATATTCTCCAGTTATCACTACACTTCTGCAGGTGTAAGGTTCTATCTCCCCCATCTGCAGCACTCATGACTTACATTTTAGTGTGGGCTTCATCCACTATTCTGATGTTAGCTGGAACATTTGTGCCAGCTGCTGGTTTGAAAGGGAGGCATACCATGTGCCAATTCAGGAAGCTTTCCACGTTCCTCACTGCATGTCAGCTCAGGACCTCACTACCATGTTGGGAGGCAGTTGAAGACTAACCAATCAACATCCCAGGCTGGAGAGCAGTGCCAGCTCGGGGAGAATTTACCCCCTGCAAAAAATTTAATACTCTTAACAATCTACAACATCTATCTTATCTTTACCTAGCCCCCAAACCTTACATTTGTCAGCATTAAACTGCATCTGGTAGTCTTTACCATTTCAAAACTATATAGGGCATCGGTATTTTTTATTTGCCAATTCTGAAACTATTGCAGTCTAAACCATAATCTTGCGAATAACCGAGGTCCAAGGAGAGCTTTTAGGCACTACTTACAACACTTCTCCCAACTTAACCCCACTTATACTAATTTCCTTTGGTATAGCCATGACCTAATCAACTTCAGTCAGCATTCCCAATGATCCGAGCCCCTATCAATTTTGCGCCACTATCAAAATCTCTGCTGAAGTCAAGGTACACAAAATCACAAACCTTATCATCATTTCCTCAACTATGCAACCTAATCTATGAACATTTAGTAATAAAATTATGCGATTCATGTATCTAGTCATGTTTCTCAAAAAGAGTAGAGAAATGGCACTTGCAATGTTAGATTATAGTAACTTTCCTCACAATAGACTAAGCTAATTGGTCACTAACTTAAGCGTTAAAGTTAACTCAAACTTTTCCTTTAAAACTTGCTATATTAGGAACTTTCCACGACCGGCCTTTACCCGACATAATTAAATAGGGTAAAAACGGTATATTAAATGCAGTAAAACTACGGTAAATTCAATATGATAAACTTGCATTCTTTAAGCATGGGCTGCATAGTAAGTGAACTAAACTAAATGTTAAGCACCCTGGCAAACCACTTTGTCCGGCTAGAATTTTTAGATTAGATTAAAGGAACACCCTCCCTGGTAACGGCTGAACTAGTTAACCAAATACAAATATTTAGGTAAAATACTTTCATAAAACCCGTCTACTTCCCCCACCAGTAGACTTGTTCAGCTAAAGGCATAATGTAATGTTCCACTTTAGTAAATAAAGACTTAAAAAAACACTACCCCATCTGTGTAGTTACCGGTTACCTGACATTCTACGCTTAAAATAACCCATCTATTCCCCATAATTGTTCGATATAACTTACCTCTCACCCGCTGGTCGAGTACACAGCAGTATATATCCTCCTCCATCACTCACCGCGTGGATACTATTTCACTCTGGCCGCAAATTGCCTCAAATCACCTACGTTGTCCATAAACATATATAGAAGAGCAACTGACCGTAACACCCGTATAGCGATCATCACATAACGTGGGAACATTAGTAGTACTGCTGTCAAAACATAGATGGCGCCAGGACAAACGGTAATTCCTATGATACAAGACACTCCGTACATTGACATCGCACACTAATATTTTTACCACTTCGGACACCAGCTTTAGACGTTTCGCATATGTGTACGTGTTCCATATTAAAACGACAATATAATGCTATTAACAATTAAAATCTTCTATTTAACAGGCATATAGTTATTAAATGAAGTTTAGTGATGTAATAGACATAATCCGGAGTTGGTAAGGACGCCGCCCGCCAGCGTAAACACAACACACCCGAATGCCCACAAACACGATACAACGCACAAAACACAACACTTCTGTCAGTTTTTTGATAAACTCCTTTTATATTTATTATGTGATAGTTATACTTGCATAAAATGATAACTATTATAGGTAAGCGCCTAATATTTAATATTAATCAATAAAAAAGAAGTCAGAAGCCACACGCCTGTCTGTACATGTCTTTTGTGTAAAAGTATTTTGGGCGCTCATGTACTTGTGCGCTAGCTGGCGTTCACACCTGTTCTCGCCTACAAGCATTAGAATTAAACAAACGAATTTATTTTTTCATTTATATACAAGAAGAGAAGGCTACTCTTGAGTCTGTAATATTCATCTGATCACTGGTCTCCCATTTGGTCCTCATTGATTTATAAAAAAAAAAAAAAAAAATAAAATGTTTATTTAGGTAAGGTACATACATACAATAAATTTTTACAAAGATTGGTTGACTTATAGGTAGAGCTAGTACATACAATGCCTAAAGCCACTATTACGCAAAGCGTTTCGGGCATGATAAACTTAAATGACAAGCTTAATACTAATTGAGGATAATGAGTAGAATGAAAACAAGAAATGAAAACATAGATGAAAAAGCAGCACAAATACAATTATGTCGACAAACAGCGCTCTTAAAAAAAAAAAAAAAAAAAAACAGACATTGGTTGACAATAGAAGGGTAAGGTAGGTTACAGGGAATTTATTAGGTATAGCTTCGTTTTTAACTTAAACTGGTTGAGAGAGGTACAGTCTTTAACATGGTTGGGAAGGTCATTCCACATTCTGGGCCCCTTGATTTGTAGAGCATTTCTAGTTTGATTAAGTCGTACTCTAGGAATATCAAAACTGTCTTACTTAAAACTTATCTTAACTTATCTTACTTAAAAACTTAATATCAAAACTTATCTTACTATTATTGAATGTCAATAACCGTATTATGCAATTTCAATTTCTTCTATTTCTTTCTTTATTATGCACCCCATACCCATCCCGTGGGCGGTGGTGTAAAGGATTACAGAGGCACATAATCGGTTCAGGAACTGAACCCTCTAGTTCGGTTAGCTAAGCAAGTAACAAAGTAACAGTGTTTGACGCTAGTTACAAAATTATTAATGTTGTATACACATGTACACACACTCATACATACATGTTGTTGTTGTGTTGTGTTGATTTAGGGGCGACGACGATCGTGGGATCGGATGCGCCCCGGCTGCCCGATACCGGGAAATAGCGGAGGGATGGGGTCCCTATAGTCTCTTCAGGCCATAGACCCTACAATCTTC